CTCCCCCCATACGCCCTCCCGTCCCCCTCCCCCCAATCTTATTCATTCTGGTTCACCGTCATCTAGTCATCTTCTCGGCCTCAGTTATCCACCTCGCTTTAAGTCAATTATTTTAGTGACTGACTATCCCTATAAGTCACTTCGTTTAGTGCCTGACTGTCGCTATTAAGTCAGTTCGTTTAGTGACTGATTGTTGTTATTAAGTCAGTTCGTTTAGTGACTGATTGTTGTTATTAAGTCAGTTCGTTTAGTGACTGATTGTCGCTATTAAGTCAGTTCGTTTCGTGTCTGATTGTCGTTATTAAGTCAGTTCGTTTAGTGACTGATTGTCGTTATTAAGTCAGTTCGTTTAGTGACTGATTGTTGTTAGTCAGTTCTTTTGATGACTGATTGTCATTATAAAGTCACTTCGTTTAATGAGCTACGTAATCAAGTCGAACCGTTAAATGACACCTTATTTGCTATAAAGTCAAAAGATCAGTCATTAAACGACTGATCTTTTCCATCAGGCCAGTTCATTGAATGACTGACCTTCATTATCATCAAGTCTATTTGCATAATGACTATCCTTCGCTACCAAGAGCAGTTCCATTAAATGACTGAACTTATTCGTTATCAAGTCAGTTCGTTCAGTGACTGACGTTATTCGCTATGTCACTTCCATTAAATGACTGGCCAGATTTACTATCGCATCCACGTAAGTATTGTGCAATCCGGAAATACCTGTATATGATGAATGGCGAAAGAATAACTAATCAGTAGCATTTCGATATATACAACTTCAATTTATCATCGATAAATAATTATGCATATTAAAAAAAATACATCAGGTCTTGAGGAATAAAAAAAAAATCGAGTTTCCTGTTATCGTCAGTCATAGCGAAATCTGCGTGTTTGTATGAACCTTTACTGAGAGGACGAATTTATAATTATATTATATTATAATTATTATATTATACGAATTATAATATATTCTGAATTAGAATATATTACGAATTATAATACATTCTGAATTCTGATATATCACGAATTATAATATATTCTGCATTATGATATATTACGAATTATAATATATTCTGAATTATGATATATTCTGATAATATACGGTTTTCAGTGCTCAGTGATGTGGTTGACGCACAGCTGTCTGGGACGTGGCTTTAATATTTTGTCGATTCGTTTAAATGCTGGTGGAGTGCGTTGTCAGTCAGGCACACACAATTGGAAAGAGAGAGGGAGAGGGACAGGGAGAAGAGGAAGAGGGAGAAGGAGAGGGAGAGGGACACACACACACGCACACACACACACACACACACACACACACACACACACAGAGAGAGAGAGAGAGAGAGAGAGAGAGAGAGAGAGAGAGAGAGAGAGAGAGAGAGAGAGAGAGAGAGAGAGAGGGGGGGGGGGGGGGGGAGTTGGTAGAAGAAGAGGGAGAGGGAGGGAAGGGGGAAAATACATTAGCCAAAATACAAAAGTCTAAAAATGGTTAGTGAAGTGGTCACTACCAGGTGATCATTCAGTGTGGCTATTGCTTTGAACACTTTATCTCCCCTCTGTATACAATCTATTTATATATCTCACTTTTCACAAAACATAGTCCCTGCCTCTTCTTTTTGTTTTAATTTATCACAATGTAAAATCAGTAATGAATTAATTTACGTATAATCTTCGCCAGCATCTCCAAAGCACAAATATTTTTAGATCATTCAGAAATGCAAAACACAGAGCTGAACATGAACATTGTGAAAAAAAGATGAAAACATGACCTCAGAAGAGCCAGTCAACAGTATGTAAGGAAGAAGAACGTAGTGTACGAGGCAATGTGTAACGCGGGGAATGTATAGCTCTACTGTACTTTGTTATGTTCTTGTATGTTTTGAGAAATTTGTATTACTTTTCAGTGCATTTATATCAGTTTCCGTGCAGATTATTATTTTTAAAAGTTTATATTTACAGCTACGCGTCGTAAAAATGTGTATACATACAGATTTCAAATAAATTTTCCGCAAATATAGTTTATCAATATTACTATTGAACAACTAGAGTATGAATGCGTATTAATTTCTGATCTAATGTATGTATATATGTTTACACATGCAGGCTTTTCACCTCAAAAATTCACATACTAGATCTCACAGTACATTTAAAGCACACCTTGCATGCTTATGTACGCACAAGGGAGGGTGTTTAGAAGTATACATTCTACTTCCCAGACGCTACATAAAGCCCTCAGAGGTACTGTTGTGTAATCCAAGAACGCTGAAGTCGAGTTGTAAATCAGCCTTTCACCGGACGAGAGCGAGAGTTGGCACCCGCTAACCGGAGGGGAAAATGTCACAGTTTTTTTGCTCTCAAGTTTTGCGAGTCGTGAGCGCATGTTCGGGGGTTGCGTAACTGTTCCTACTTCCTTGTTTCCGTAATTTTGAAAAGGATTTTACAAATGTTTCTCCGTCTCTCTTTTCTTTTTTTTCTCTCGAAGTCTTTTGGAAAGCAGCGATGCAATGGTTTTATTATCTCATTCTTTATATAGAAAAGGGGTTAATGTGACGGTTTTCTTTTTCATTCCTTGTATCTGTGTTGCAAAAGTACTCTTGATTATGTTATACGTTTGAAAAAAAGATCTCACCTGTTCTGTTCCTCGACCTTCCGGCCTCGAATGTAAACAGGCTGGCTATTGGCCTGACGCTGTTGCTTCCTTCTCATTGGCTGTCTCCTCTGGTTGTACTGGCGTCTGATTGGTGCTTTCTCAAACTGTTGCTGGGTCCTGACTGGTCGCTGCTGATAACGGACACTTGTCTTCTTGCGCGTGATTGGTGGGCTGCCAGAGAGGAACCAGTAGAAGTAGTCGCTGATTCGCCTCATGTATTCGCCGGCTTGTTGGGCGATGCCGGTCAGAGGGCTTCTTGCAGGCGACGAAGGAGGGCGAGCCGGTTGCTGCAAGAACGCGAGAAAACCGGTTGCGTCAAATCAGTGGGATGTTATCGCGTAAAAAAGTTATTTGGCTTTATTCGCAGAGGTTTTGCTATGACCGGTCAGTAAAGCTGTAAATCTTTTATCTACCTACGTGAATCTATTTTTTTTATCAATCTGCCTAGCTTTTCTGTCTAAATATATATCTTCCTGCCGGTCTGCGTGTTTAATATTACCAATGCTACTTTTTACCTTAGTGAACTTGGCTGGCACCATCAAATATTGTTAACTTAAAAGGCAGTGTAATACCTATTCCCACTTGTCTCAATCATTACTGAAGCCATTATCCTATTTTCTTAAATTTGCCTTTGTTACATTATTTTTACTTTTTTTATAAATGTTATTAACTCTGAAATCTGAAATCCATGTGTAACAGTGAATTCAAGAGGAAGATCGCAAGGCTATGAATCTAAACAAAATAACTCAGAACATATTTCTTTACAAGTATATTTGACCATTATTTTTTATCATTCTTCTTCTCTTTAATGATTTTTTGGCTTTACCTGAACATCAAACTGCCTCCGAATGTTCGCTCCTGGCATCCGTTCCCCTCGGTGTTCGGGCATCAACATGTTGGTGTCCACTTCTTCAGGGGGCGGGACTACAGACATGGCCCCGCCCACTGAGCTCTCGAGGGCCAATAGGTCTCCTTGACCCGCAACTGGCCCCGCCCACACCGCCACAAACACCAAGCATATCACGTGACAAATTCTGTTGATAAATTTTAATAATTAGAACATCTTCATGATAATAAATATATATATATTTATTAGATTTTCAAGTAATGACTTTGTAATTAAAGATAAATTTTAATGGGTTAAGTGGAAGAGGCACTGAAGATGTAATTTCAAACGTTTATAACTGTCATAGTTATTGAGGCAAAATGCTTTCAAAGAAGATTATGAAGCATGGAACCAGAAAATTTCATTGGCCATAAAAGATGGTAATGACATCAGTCATGCAACAATGACAATAACGGTGATCATTCCCATAAATATAACAGGTGCAGAATTAGAAAGAAATCTACACTAGAAATTGCTCATAACTGTAATAAATGAAGCTGAAAATAACAGTCACCATGACAGAATGAACTAAATGCAGTGATCGATGTAACAGACATAAAAAAATAGAAAATTGTGATTAAAAAGATATATATATAGGAACCATATCCACGTAGTTCAGCAAGTGGATAAACTTTAATAGAAATAACATTTGTTACTTGTCATTACCCACTTCATCTGAACAAACTCACAAAGATGTCTTACCACATACAAAGACAAACAAATAAACAAAAATGGTATATTTATATAAAACTACGTAAAAATACTGCAGGTGTGTACAAATCATGCTACACAAAAACATGACACGACGGGGATAGAGAGAGAGGAGAGAAGGAGGGGAAGGGAGAGAGAAAGAGGGAAGAGAGAGAAGGAGAGAAGGAGGGGAAGGGAGAGAGAAAGAGGGAAGAGAGAGAAGGAGAGAAGGACGGGGAAGGGAGAGAGAAAGAGGGAAGAGAGAAAAGGAGAGAAGGACGGGGAAGGGAAAGAGAAAGAAGGAAGAGAGAGAAGGAGAGAAGGACGGGGAAGGGAGAGAGAAAGAGAGAAGAGAGAGAGGAGAGAAGGAGGGGAAGGGAGAGAGAAAGAGGGAAGAGAGAGAAGGAGAGAAGGAGGGGAAGGGAGAGAGAAAGAGGGAAGAGAGAGAAGGAGAGAAGGACGGGGAAGGGAGAGAGAAAGAGGGAAGAGAGAAAGGAGGGAAGGACGGGGATAGGGAGAGAGAAAGAGGGAAGAGAGAGAAAGAGCGAAAGACGGGGATAGGGAGAGAGAAAGAAGGAAGAGAGAGAGGGAGAGAAGAACGGGGATAGGGAGAGAGAAAGAGGGAAGAGAGAGAAGGAGGGAAGGACGGGGATAGGGAGAGAGAAGGAGGGGAAGGGAGAGAGAAAGAAGGAAGAGAGAGAGGGAGAGAAGAACGGGGATAGGGAGAGAGAAAGAGGGAAGAGAGAGAAGGAGATAAGGACGGGGAAGGGG